GGCGTGCGACATTCTGCACCCCTGAAAATTGGCTTCTCGTGTCTTCAAACACCGTTTTGAAAATTATCCATTCACCCGGGTCTCCATCGAACACCGGTAATTCCTGGAGGAAATGAAGCTGGGAAGACTTATCTTTACCCGCTATCTTTATTGCACTCACAATCGCTTCGGTCAATTCTGACACCTCACTCGCGTGTGTTTTCTGTGCATTTCCTTGGTTGCGCTCGATCTCCGCCCCTTTGCGGCGTGATCCTTTACACGCTTCCTTATCAGTAATATCGGGTTGCGTCACACTAACCGGCGCGCTCATTATGGTCTGCTGAACCCAACTCCTTACGAAAGGTTCCACCTGAGTATTCCGCTCTTCTTCATCCTCACTCGAGTCGATCTCCTCTTCTCGGTTGAGTCGTGCCAACTCCAATTGAGACTTGGCTAAGGCAGCAGCTGCCTGTGCTCGTTCGAGCTCTGAGCGTTCGAATTTAATCCGCGCCTCTAATTCGGCTTTCAGCCTCGCCGATCGCGATGACCTACTACCTCTCTGTGACCCTTTGTCACTAGTGTGCCCAATTACTGTCCTTGACGATGCCGCTTCTTCGGTCCTTTGACCTACTTTTTCGACCACCGTTTCACTCCTGGATATAACGGATTGTTGTGCGGTGCTGGCCTGCGTACCACTGGTGTCCGTCCTGTTGCTTGTCGCTGCCATGGACGTCCCTGAGTCCCACGTGCATGTGGACGTGTCGGTGGTGGCTCCACTTGAAGGAGTTGCCCCATTTGACGCAGTAGCTGTGGTCGCTCCAGATGATTCCGCCTCTTTAGCTTTTCTTGAGAGCCCTGTTCTTGTCCTGCTCCCTTCGCTCCTCTCTGTCTGGTCTTGTGCCTTCTTCATCTTGCAGGAAGGTGATTGTTGGCCTACGGTCCCTAACTGTCCCTTACCTACAACCCTTCTACACCCCAACCTAACACCACTACCCCTCCCCCCCCTTATCTCCCAACCCTACAACCCTACTACCACCCTAACAGCCCTATCACATCCTGAACGGGGCCTACCGAGGTGAGCCGTCCAGGGATGGAGTCGTGCAGGAATGGAATGGAGGAAAGGTTTAGGAACTGTCCCGCCAAGGAATATGACGAAACAGTCGAGCGGTAGTGCAAGCGCAGTCTCGCTCGAGAGAACTGCTCCACCCGAAGGTGTTGTGCCAGAGCCCGACCGTTTGGCACCGTTAGGTGGTCGGGATGTATGCTGTGCTCGCCGCCCAGTTGCCGGTGACGCCTCGTCCAAGCGCCCTCCTCCGGCCGCGATGCAGTCAGGTGCCCACGCGCACCCTCGCCTGGCAGCAGCAGCGGTGGATGCTTCTTCTTCTTGCACCCTCTGATGACCCGACAGGAAATGCCGGACACGGTCGTCCGACAGGAAATGCCAGAGCACGGTTGTCCGACAGGAAAAATTCCAAGCCCTGCTTGGCCACGATGAGCGCCTTCACAAGGCACCTGCGCCTGGCTGCGATACATGCCCCATGCGAGCACACGCCCCAAGCCGCAATCCCGGTTTTCTTTCTTCCGGTAGTTCCAGGTCCAGTCCTTCTGTGCTGATGACCTGGTCTTCTGGCCTTTGGTCCTATTGCTTCAGCTCAAACCTCCGGCTTCCTTCGGTTGCTGATCTTCACTCGGCTCCGAAGGTCTTCTTTCTCCACAACCAGCAGTCCACAGCTGGTTCCTTGATCGGGCCAGCTGGCGGGGTTCGGGTGGTCCTTTTAATCCGGCTCCGAAGGACCAATTGAAAAGGAACCAAGCTTCGGGGATCCTCTTGGTTCGGCCGCGAAGGACCAATTGAAAAGGACCAACAGGTATTAAACGTTCGATTAAGAAACAGAAGGGAGGAATCGAGGCTTCTCTCGATCCGGCCTCCTATAACGCCTACGTTGGGTTCGGGAACAACGTATGTGATCTCCGCAACGGAGTAACACACAAGGGCGATAACCTCTTCCTTTTCAGCGAGTAGGTTCAGACGGGGATTACGGGTCTTCCGAAGTCGTCCCGGTCCCAACGCCTTAATTCTTCGATGTGGACTGTATAATCTTGAGGGATGAATTACTTGGGAATAAAACAGCAATTATCTTCAAACCGTTCCGTGAGAGAGTAATCACTTTTTCCCTATCACTTCCCTATACTCTTTTTATTGACTGCTGGTTTTTCACTTTTCTCGAACTTTTTTCCCGAACGAATTGCAATAAAACTCATTTACTAAGCTACCCCAGAGCTATACGCGAAAGTGAGCCGCGCCATTCGCGCGCTTGCGCAACTCAATTACATGAATTTGTTCTATTACTCTCTCACGTTTTACTTAATTACTTTATTTGCAAAGTCATACATCAACATAATTTACGTGTATAGATAGCACAAAACAATATCTACACTACGATATACATTACATTTTTATATCACGAAATACCTATTATTTATTTAACAAAATATGCCTATTTTACTCACAAGTTCAAGTCGAAATTTCTTAAATATTTAACATAGAAAGTTAAAACAATGTTTTCCACTTGAAATTATACATATGTTAACTAATACAATAGTTTAATTTACATTTTCTCTATTTATTTCACTATTAAAACACTTTTAAATTTCTTATACAAAACTATCATTATTTCACTTATACACAGGAATTTTCACATAAAAATAACACAGAATTCACCTTTTTAGCACGTACAATCAACCTGAAATGTTTTACAAGTCATTTTTACATAAATTGCTGAAATTACAAATATTTAAATTTTTACATATTTGGCCTCCTAAGTACGTGGCTAGCGTGCGTCTATGAACTCACACTATTTGAACAACTAACTTTTGCACGGCTCTCGGCTATCAGAAAAAATGAAAGTCTGATATACACCAATTTTAACAATATTGGGTGAATAAATGCTTCTACACAATTTTAAAACTGTAGGAAACTATTTCTAATCAGATTCTTATCAGTTATCATGTTTCTTATCAGATAACGATATAAGTGAATGTTCTCATAAATCAATCATGGCAAATAGGCATTTGTTTTCGTACAAAACATATCAAACTTATATAAGACAGTACTTATGCGATTAATTTCCGTTAATTCTATTTATGCACAGAGTGATCATCTCGACCGGGGAACAAATCCGATCTCTAACTTCACTTTAATATTCCTTTGAATTTACATCATTGGAAAGATGATTTCAACCGGGGAAACAATCCGGTAACATAATTTATATCTTAAATTCCTTACGAATTTATTAAGCGATATTACTTAGGAAAACAAATAAACTAGTCCGGCCTGGGAGTCGAACCCAAGACCTTCATATCATTAATTCGGTATTTCTTTAAGATTTAACTAAGCATTTTCTTATCAGGACATTGCTATTGGACAATTTGCCTTTTAGAAGCTATTCGTCATCGGTTGACTTAATAAATTGAAATATTCTTATAGGCGCGTCGCCAACTGACACCATTAATGAAGAATGTTTCTTTAGTGGGAGCTTCATGCTGGGAGATGTTCTGCAGTCGACTTGTCAACTTATAATGGCTATAATAATGATGATGATGACGATGGTAAAAAATTATTGATGACATTTGTAGATCACTTGAATTATACCAAATGTGTAAAACTTATACATAAACAACCGCTAAACAGGACCCTTTTTTGCCACTGCAGAGAAGTGTCTGCCACATTGTCTCATATTTATCAACTTCACATCATCATTATTACAGCCCTTCACAAGTCTATTACTGAACATAGGCCTCCCCCAAGGAATGCCACAAAGCACGGTCCTGAGCCACCTGCATTCAACTTCAGGAAGTGTCTTACCAGGTCGTCACTCCATCTAGTGGGGGATCGCCCTCATTTGGCCTACTAATACGAGGCTGCCACTCGAGAGCCTTTTTTCCCCATCTTCGTGTCTACTGCGGATTTTCTCATTTCTAAGTTTATCACGTAGAGAAACCCCGAGAATAGCCATCTCCATAGCTTGCTGAGCGGCCTTGAGCTTCCTCATACAGCCAGCAGTGAAGGCCATGTCTCAGATCTTTAAGTAATCACTGGCAACATGCACTGGTTGTACAATCTCGTTTTCAAGTTTTGAGGTATACCTGACGAGAAGAAGGGTCATCTGCTCGATTGACCTCTCAGTCCAAGTTGGACTTACCTAGTTGAACCATTTGTCCCAGGTACTAGATACTCGTCAAGAACTTTGAGCTTAGTGCTCCCAACAACTGCCGTTATAGATGTGACACAGATGTTACACATGATCTTTGTTTTGTCCATGTTCATCTTAAGACCTATTTGTTGGGAGACACTATTGAGGTTATTGAGCATAGTGCTTGGGTCCTCCAGCGATTCTGCCATAAGGACTATATCATCGAAAAATCAATGGTGAGTGATGTACTCGCCATTGATGCTAATACCATATCCTTTCCAGTCCAGTAGCTTGAAAATGTCTTACAATGTAGCGGTAAAGAGTTTTGGGGATATAATGTCACACTGACTCTCATCATGGGGGCTATATTGCCAACTGCACATAACCTTGAAATGTTTTTAATTTCAAAGATATGCAGGTTAATCATGATTGTGATATTCGTTCTACAGACAGCCTTTGTATTTAATTTTTTTATAACAATTTTTTTTTAATTTTTTTAATTCTGTGTTCAATAAAGAATTATTATTATTAATAAATAATAATTTGCTACATATAAAGTAACAGTTGTAGGAACTCTCCTTCATATTTGACATGCTCAGTCCCTTTTTCTCAGCTAGCTACCACTGTATAGCTTACAATAAAAAAATATTATGTTTATTGATAACTTTCCTTCATTGCTGAGCATTTAGTAAATCGATGCTTAAAATTGCATTTTAAATATCTTCGGCTAGTTAGCCTAGTCTAGTGTGAGTTTGTGAGTGGTTGAATGTGACTGAGTGGCGTGTTGAAATGTCTTCATATGTATATGTATATTGTATTTTGTTTCAGGAAAAAACAAAAAGAAAAATAATATAGATGATATTGAAGAAGAACTAAAGAAATTTGAAATTAAGGAACCCGAATCAGTTGAAGAAATAAAAGAGGCACAAGTAATTATTTTTGCTATATCCATTCATTGACTTTTTCGCTATTATATTAACATATTAATGTAATACCAGTGCTTCAGTTTAACACCATTATTATTGATTTGTTTAATTTTTTTATTTAACTTATGGTATTCTTTGTTATTCAATCTTGTCAGAAATGGAAAAAATGTGTGCAGTTGTCAATTTAGGAATAATTAAGTATTTTTATAGAAAGAAGAAAAAGCTAAAGAAGAAAAAGTTGAATCTGTGGAGAAAAAAATGAGCCACAAAGATAAGAAGAAACTTAAAAAGCAACAAGAGTATGAGAAGCAGATGGAGATGTTGACGAAGAAAGGTGGACAGGGCCACAGTGAGCTGGATGCGAATTTCACTGTTAGTCAAGCCCAGAAATCTGCTGGTGAGACAGAGAGAGAGACATTTTAATGATATATTTGATTTTTTATATATATTTTATTTGTGAATATCATAAGATTTAGTGTAACTATACAGGGTGTTAGTGTAAACACCGTTATCCTTGAAACCAGTGGTTTGGTTTCACTTATAGAATGTAAATTCAATGAAAAATAATAACATTTTTTTAGTAAAATCTCTATTTTTCCTTAATTCCTCAATTTTTGCCTGTCCTAAGCCAGGATGAAAGTATGAAGGAAAAGTTACATCACAGGTTGTGTACCTATTGTGTTTTTATTGGAATGTTGTGTAGGTAGCTAGTGCGGGCGCTGATCCTTACAGTGATTACGTCACTCAGGCGCATAGCCCATTTTACGGACGGTGTCGGACAGAAACTTTTTAAATTTTATGAAAGAAAATAGTGTTTTTTTTAAAATTCGGATAAATATTTTTATATTAAAGCCAACTACCTATGGTTTTAGTGACAACGGTGTTTATACTTACACCTTGTATGAAACTGATATTTTGTGTCAGTTAGATTTATACACAATATGCACCCTTAGAAACTCTATTTGACCCGATTACTTGGTACTTCTCGTCATTATGTCATGATAATATGTAACGTGACATGATTCTGTTCATGTTCACCCTGCAAAAAAAAAATACTATTGCACACAATATTACCATTAAAAAGGGAAACCTAAGTGGCCATAATTGCTTGGTCGTGGGGAAAAAATATCTAGAGACCATCACTTTCATTTCTGTTGACTCTAGGCTTTTAGTTTATCCTTTGTTCGTTAGAAACAATGATTGAAAAACTGCAAACATTGCATAATTGCAGTCATTTCGGATACCATCATTGTTGACAGATTTCAAAATTTGCTTAATTTTAAGCAAATTATTGTAGAAAAAACATGCATGTTAAGTGAAATTAACACTTTTATATTGAATAAAACTAAATTTACGGATTCTATCGCGTTTATTTAACTGATTTTACTTATTTTTAATTCCCGACGTTTCGGTGCTCCCGGTGAGGTGTTTGACGTCCCAATGTCATTGTTAGCCCGGCTACCTTCAGTTTTTGAATATTAATTTTTGGTCCGATTTACGCAAAACGAACTTACAGTATCTTGAAGTCTTGCAGTGGTATGCTTGGGTTTGGGTTTAATTTTATTAATTATAGGATCCCAAGCAGATGGCAGCACCCAACCATGTCTTTTAATTTCAATAGCCTCGCGTATCATCCTTGGTAGGAATCGGTGTTCTTTTGCGAGGATTTGTGGTTTATCAAATCTGAAGTAATGGTGGGAACGATCTTGAACATGTTCACAGACTGCAGACTTCCCGGAGCACTGGTACTTTTATACTTTTATATTTTATACGGGACTTTTATATTGCCTTTTTCAATCAGATGGGACATTTTATTGTACAATATACATTTGAAAACTTAAGATATTAGACACTTATTATTTTTTATAATGTAATGTTTGTTATTACTTATTATCAATGACCACATCTCACTTTTATGGAACATGCTATAAATAATTTTTTAACTTTTAGGTCAAATGGCAGCCTTGGAAAACGCAGTGGATATCAAAGTGGAAAACTTCTCTATAAGCGCCAAAGGGAAAGACCTTTTCGTAAATGCCAATTTGCTTATTGCAAATGGTCGTCGATATGGTCTCGTTGGGCCAAATGGTCATGGGAAGACTACTTTGCTCCGACATTTGGCGCAACGTGCCTTTCCTCTTCCACCTCATATTGATATACTGTTGTGTGAGCAGGAAGTCACGGCGAGTGACACAAGTGCTGTGGACACACTACTAGAGGCCGATGTCAAGAGAACTGGTTTGTATTATTGTGATTCTATTATGATGAAAATTTACCATAAAATTTTTCTTAGATCAATCAATTCTATCCTCCCAGGCAAGCTGGTTTCCGAAAAGGCTTAAGTACTATTGACGACTACATCATAACCTTTGGCAAATTGTACAGAAGGCCAAAGAGTACAATCTGTAAATTTGTCTTGCGTATGTGCAATATGACAAAGTCTTTGATTCCGTCGAAATTTGGGCAGTGCTACAGTCCTTCAGCTACAGTACTTCAGTTTCTACAGTATGACTACAATGCCTATCTGAGTACAGAACCAGAGTAGGAAACCTATATATCACCCCTTTGCAGATCATGTATAGGGGAGGAAGAAACGGAGGCTCACGTGTTGCTGACATGTCCGGAGGTCGCTGCATACAGGGCTAAACATCTCGGCACGCCGGGATCGCTTCCTGAAGTTCTGAAGAACATCAAAGGACTGTTGAACTTCTTGGGGGATATTTCATGGCTCGAATAATCACATTATTCCTGCCCACACGAAAAATACGCACATAGACGTGGAGTTACGGAAAACAACCCGTCGTAATCCAAACTAAACCATGTAGAGAGGTGTCAGGCTGGATGACATAATATCCCCGACACTCTTCATTGCTGCATTAAAAGGTTTTCAAACTACTGAATTGGGAATAATATAATCCTTTCCAGACCAGTAGCGCCATTGATGTTGATGTCGTATCCGATACGATATCAATATCAATGGTGCGTGCGTATGCGTTCGCGTGTGCGTTCCCTTGCGCGCGCGCGTGCGCGGGTGTGTTTAAATTAGCACTTGGTTTTAAGTTTTTCCCACTATTACTATTACATGTTCCACCTAACAAGATAATAATACTTTTATAAACAAATTATTTATATGTTTTTAGCATAAATTCATGTACTGATTTGATTATTAACTGGGATTTATTTTAAAACAACATTTTAGAGCCATCTTTCACATCCGTTATTCAAAAAAAATTCATTTTGCTTTTTTCAGCCTTACTCAAAGAATGCAAGGAGTTAGAAGCTGAAACAGAAAAGGGTAATTTGAGCAAACAAGATAGACTGAACGAGGTGATTACTCTTGATTTAAATATTTTCTCATTTTTGCTTTTAATGTGAATATTGCTAATTAAAAGATTTTGATTAAATCTTTGTTCATCCATGTTTGATATAATGCTTAGCAATGAGATTTGGGGTATGCTCGAATGGAGCGTTGAAGGAAAGCTCACAATTAAAAAAATGTACAAATGTTGGTTCCAAATGGGATTCGAAGTCAAATCTGTATCTGAGTTATGAAAGAAACTTATGGAAAAATTTGGGATGTGCAAGCGGGTTTTAGAAAGGGAATGGGGTGTACAGGTCAAGTCTTTTCCATGCGCATGATTTCGGAGAAGTTTTTGGCCAAAAACCAGAAAGTTTTTTGTGCGTTCATGGACTTGGAAAAGGCTTATGACAGAGTGGACAGGAATGTGTTATGGCAAACGCTGAACTTATATGGGTTGAGCGCTAGTTTGATACCGGCATTAAGATCTCTTTATGGAGACTCTAGTGCTTGTGTCAGGATCAATGGGGTCTACTCAGACTGGTTTGGCACCCAAAAAGGTGTCAAACAGGGCTGTGTAGCTTCCCTTTGGCTGTTCAACCTATTTATGAACAGGTGTTTGCAAACTTTGAAATATGAAGAATGTGGGTTAAGAATGGGCGAGTTAACCGTCAAATGCCCTTTGTATGCCGATGATCAAGTCATATTTGCGTCATCGGCGGCTGAGTTGCAAATGATGGTTACATTAATGAACTGGGCATTAAAAAAAGGGGAATGAAAGTGATGGATGGTTTTTGAAAGAGAAGAAAGCAAAACGGTATGTGAAATAAGAATAGATGGAGAGTTAATTGAGCAAGTGGATGAGTTTGTGTATTTGGGATGTGTAATTAGTAGGGATGGTAGATGTGATAAGGATATAGAGCGACGAGTAAATGCAGGGAATAGAGTGAATGGGTTACTACACTCTGTTATGAAGAATCAGAATGTGTCAAAAAATTCATAATGCTGTGTTAGTCCCTACTTTAATGTATGGTAGTGAAAGCTGGGTGTGGCAGAAGAAGCACGAAAGTAGAATAAATGCTGTAGAAATGCGGTCTTTAAGGAGTATGCTTGGGTTGAATCTGAATGACAGGTGAGAAATTGCGTGATAAGAGATAAATGCAAGATGATGTTGTGACCAGGATTAAGAAAGGAATGCTTCAGTGGTTTGGTCATGTAGAAAGAATGAATGAGGAAAGAGTAACAAAGCAAATTTATATGGCAGATGTGAATGGCAGAGTCAGGAAGGGACTCCCTAGAAAAAAGTTTATCGACCAAATTGGCGATATTTTGAAAATGGGCCACGTTAGAAGTACCCTTAACCGACGAGCATGTATGCGTAGATATATGGATGTAAAGGAGGCGAAAGAGGTATGTCAGGATCGTGCTAAATGGAAGTCCGTAGTCTCTGCCTACCCCTCTGGGTGACAGGCGTGAGTGTTTTATGTTATGTTATGTCAAATCTGTAATCACTGTCACATGTTCGCTATGAAAAATATGCAATATAAAGATATAAACATGTTATGGACCTTCAATGTTTTAATGAGTGTAATAGATAAAATAATACGACCTTTTTTTAAAATTCGTATAACTACATGCGTAGAATGTGGAATAGGTTTGGGTTTTGATCGTAAAGTAGCGTGAATAAAACTACAAGGCAACCATTTTATCGCTTCGTTTAACCAAAAATTCGTTATTGTGACATATTACAACGGGCCATATGTTATAACTAAACAATCGGAATTATTACAAATAGTAATTCCGAGATGTTGTATTTTTATATTATTACAGCTATATTATGGCTCAATCACGTTAAAGATTGCTTGCTTTCTGTGAAATCTACAGCGAGCACTTACCTCTAACCTAACATGGTTCTTAATCTCCGTTCTTATTGCATGATTCAGTTTAGTATTTCTATGTTAGCGCATATACTGATACCTATATAATATCTCTTGTGCAGTTCCAAGGCATTCTAGATGATGCTGCGATGTGGTTTATACCAGTTAGGAGAAAATTGTCATTGATTTTTTTTTAATTTCATGTGTTATCTTTTTTTAAATAGAAAGTGATATGACGTTGATTGATTTCGTGTGACTTAGAATGAAGGTAGTTTAGAACCACACTATTGTGACAATCTATGGGGGAAGCCCTTGTCTCATAGTTGACTGCACTTTCAATGGATTGTAATAAGGACGATGAATTATATTTATGGTTGTATTGATAGGTGTATGCGGAGTTGAAGGCGATCGGTGCTGATGCAGCGGAGCCACGCGCTCGACGTATCTTGGCCGGTTTGGGCTTCAGCCGAGAGATGCAAGACCGCGCTACCAAGAACTTCTCTGGTGGCTGGCGAATGAGGGTGTCTCTGGCCAGGTTCGTAAAAACTGATATGATAGAAAGTCGTAAATGTTCTGTTAGCGACGTAACAAGTTTTGTTTGCTTTCAATAATTAAGTGCTAGTTTTATTGATATTACTTGCGATAGTTTTACAGTAAAGAAGTAAGAAATAATTTCAGTAATTCATTTTAAACCTCTCAACAAATTTGTGTTAGTAAGGTCATTATGAACATCACTATATCTTTGAAGCCAGCATATTCCTAGTTCTCCCAGCTATAAAGCTACCGTTTTATAATATTGGCTAATTAAAAGTACGATATCTTGTTCGTAATTTTGAAATCTAAATTTCAATTTATGTTTTATTACAACTTCATACATATTAATTTTATATTCTTTTGTATTCCATTCCATTACTTTTGGTTTCCAGCCTTCTGGATTATATTAATTATCTTTTTTGTTAATGGCTGTAGTTATGAAAATTATTATTTTCGTTCCATTTAATGATCAATTTTTTTTATAGGATAGGGTGACAAACGAGCACACAGTCCACCTGATGGTAAGTGGTTGCTGTGGCCCATAGATATCTTACATCTATCCTCGTATGCGATTCAAAATGCAGATGCGTTGTCATCCGTGAGGACTAAGATGGAATGCCTCGTTTCCAGCAAAATGGGTCTCCGGTTCTCTACACTCACCATACGAAACACAGCAGCATTAAGCTACTATTTCACGCTGGTATTCTGTGAGGGCGTGGTCCTTCCCCAGTTGAGCCGACCAATTCGTGTTACAACTATACTACTAATATAACTGCAGCATGGCTCTACCACGTTTAAAATTTTTTTTTAAGTTTAAGTTTTTCTATAATTGTTTTTGTTTGTTTCAGAGCTCTGTACATTGAACCGACTCTGCTGCTGCTTGACGAACCTACAAATCACTTAGACCTCAATGCCGTTATTTGGTTAGACAAGTAAGTACTTATTTAAATCTTGCAACGATCATGAATAAACGTAAATTCTTTTCATTTTTAAGATTAGCGTCGTAGTAACTCTGGTTCTATCCCCGCCGGCACAAATAAAATTTTTAATGGCAATTTTAAGCGCTGATTAATCTAAATGTTTATGGCACTGCGACGGACATGTTCAAGTTCTAAAACCCTCTCAGAAATGTAAATGAGAGCCTATGCCTAGCAGTGTGGTGTATATAGACTGTAACTTTACTTTCCTTTTACAATTTTTTTATTTCATGTGAAATATTTATTCACATGTTGATTTTAACCGTGTAGTGGCGGTGGAAGAATATCCACTAACCAATATCGTCTCGTTGGTTACTTGAATTCAAAATGCATATATTTGTTTATATAATTTATACTAATATGCAGGGGACGTTCAGAATTAGTAATATGTGCGAATCGTAAAAAAAAATTGCAAAGAAATTTCATACGTACTGTCCATTTTATCTTTTAAATTCAGAATGCCTGGTAATGCGTTATTTTAACTGATTGTCATTCATAAATACCTAAAGCCTACTATTTTACTACGCATACACACATTCGTAAGGGTCGCGTTGGTTACTTGAATTCAAAATGCATATATTTGTTTATATAATTTATACTAATATGCAGGGGACGTTCAGAATTAGTAATATGTGCGAATCGTAAAAAAAATTGCAAAGAAATTTCATACGTACTGTCCATTTTATCTTTTAAATTCAGAATGCCTGGTAATGCGTTATTTTAACTGATTGTCATTCATAAATACCTAAAGCCTACTATTTTACTACGCATACACACATTCGTAAGGGTCGCGTTGGTTACTTGAATTCAAAATGCATATATTTGTTTATATAACTTATACTAATTTGCAGGAGACGTTCAGAATAAGTAATATAGGCGAATGGTAAAAAAAATTGCAAAAAATTTCAAACGTACTGTCCCTTTTATCTTTTAAATTCAGAATGCCAGGTTATGCGTTATTTTAACTGATTGTCTTTCATAAATACCTAAAGCCTACTATTTTACTACGCACACACACAATCGTAAGGCCAGTTATTGCAAAATAACCCTGAATTTCCATCTTGCTTAGCCTAGACGCGTAAGTTATATTAAGTGTACAATAGTTTTGTAACACTATTTTTCCATTTCAGTTACTTACAAGGTTGGAAGAAAACGTTGCTGGTAGTATCTCACGATCAGTCTTTCTTGGACAATGTTTGCAATGAGATCATTCACTTGGACCAACAAAAGCTTTTCTACTACAAGGGCAACTACTCAATGTTTAAGAAGATGTACGCGCAGAAACGAAAAGAGATGATAAAGGAGTATGAGAAGCAAGAGAAGAGATTGAAAGAATTGAAGGCACACGGACAGTCGAAGAAACAGGCCGTAAGTATATTTTTGTGTGGGCGACCGACAAGCATATTATAATGCCTTGTAGTATGTGAGGCTGGGGCTAAGAATAATATTCATATATATTTTCTAACACGGATTGGATGTTTGAGCGCACATTTTTACTTGGTAGAATAGGATCCTTATTTGAATATAAATCTTTCTGCATATGTTACATCTCACATACTAGGTTGAACAATAAGTTTTCGGAATAGGACACTTATCAATGAGTCATAGAAAGGCCTGAAAAAAAACTAAATAAAAGACTGTACCCATTTTTTTTTCAAACTTCGCACTTGGCGGGAATTTAATTCGTATGTAAAATAGAGAAACTCGAACTTGTGCGGTTATTAAATATTACTGCCTGAAATATTTTCTACAAGTGTTTTTGTAGAACTGTAGTCTACTTTGGCAAAAAAATGCTCCTTCTTATTCCGCAGTGGCATCCGATGTGTTTCTCCAAGCAGCGGTAGTTCCATTGATTTTCAGTTTGCAGGGCAGGAAGAGCCAGTACAATTAGAAGAACGGGTTACAGCATTCCATCTTTGTCTTCAGAACTGACAACTGTGTTTCTTTGCTTGAACTAGGTTGTAAATGTTCATGGGCTGGAGTAGCTCTTTTTGTTACATTCAAAGAAATTGGTCACCTTACTCTGATAGGTTCTAGGACTCCTTTTTTGTGTAAGTCTGTCTAGGTAGGTACCACTTTCTTACCTATTTCTGCCGACAAATAGTACTGATTGCACTGAGTAAGTATAGAGACCGTAGACAGAGAAACCTGTAGACAAATTGACGCCGTCTTTCGCATATTCTTCTTCTATAGCAAACTACACTTTGCTAAACAACTTAGACAGTTCGTAGCGATCTAAGGAGTTTACAAGTTGGTTTAAGTGAGAAAAAAGTGTTTTGTGAACTTAAGATTGGCGAATCTTGATCAGTTCAGTTCTTAGAATTATTCAAAAACTTTAAAAATGGTTAGATGTAGTGTCTTAGGATGTAAAAATGATAGTGAACGTAAACTCACCAGTATATCATTTCACTCGTAAGTAATAGTACATTTTATCTGGTACTATGTATAAAATTCTATTGTTATTTTAAATTTCGTTACAGAACTATATAAATATACGTTTAAATTTTATCTAAATATGTTTAAAAGTCATAAAGATTATTGTATAACCTAAAACCATAGATAGAGAATTTCTCTATCTACGTTATCGTCCTTTCTTACTTGAGGCAACGCTAATCATTCAAAAAGCAAGTAAATAAAAAGTAGTGTTTGTTGCAGTAAATGCACGTCGCTTGGAGAAGTTTAGAAGTAACATAGTAAAAAAACTTCCATCACTTTCGTACCAAAATAATCCAGATTTTTTTGTATGGAACATTATTTAACCTTATTTGCAATGAATTTAATAATACTTTTACTTCTAAAACATTCTCCTTGAACAATCGCAAGGCATTTAATGAGTGGGCGACAGTAGGAGTCCATAAGAGTAGACAAAGGTTATATGAACTTTACAATGAAAGGTCATATAATCCTAGCGTCGAATTTAGGGAATATGTAAAAAATATTCCAAAATATTTAAAAGAGTGTGCTCCATAGCCAAGTCATTGTATTTGAGCAACAAAATAAAGACGGCTTCTAATAAAATTAAAATGACATGGAGTATAATTAATAGTGAAATTGGAACGGTTAGCTCTCGCAATTCGAACTATCAGTTAAGTTTTAACAATAAATTAATTGAATCAGATCAGGATGTTGCAATGGTTTTCGAGAAATATTTTACTGATATTCCTATCTTAACCACTAAGTCACTGAATTCTTCTCCTGCCGTCGCCGAATCATTACTTAAACAAAATGTAAATGCGTGTACAAAGAATTTTACATTTCATAAAGTGTCATCAAAAGATATTCTAAAATATTTTAAGACTATTGATATTAAGAAAACCGCCGATCTGTGGGGGATTTCCGTTAAAGTTATTGCGTCTATAATAGATGTAATCGCACCTCAACTATCTATTATTTTTAATACTAGTATCAAATCTAGTGTGTTTCCTGCTTTAATGAAGCATAGTAAAGTAATAACTTTATTTAAATCTGGCAGTACATTGGACCCCGCTAATTTTAGACCTATTTCTATACTGCCAACACTTAGTAAAATTTTTGAAAAAATTATTCTTGATCAAATGTTTATTTTTTTTAATGTAAATAATTTACTTCATATAAATCAATTCGGTTTCACAAGGGGTCGCTCAACAAATGATGCTGGTGTTGAGCTTATTAAATATATCTTTAATGCATGGGAGAATTCACAGGATGCTTTGGGTATATTCTGTGACCTATCCAAGGCCTTCGATTGTGTTCACCATGAAACATTAATCAGGAAACTTCAACACTACGGTGTAAGAAGTGATGCTCTTAAATTAATTATTTCATATTTAAGTGACAGAACGCAAAAAGTTGTAATTAATAGTATGAGTTCTTCCGGGTCGACTGTACAAATGGGCGTGCCTCAGGGCTCAATTCTCGGCCCCTTTCTGTTTCTTGTATATATTAATGACTTACCTTACATAGTAGGGAAAACCATGATATGGTATTATTTGCTGATGATGCTTCATTAATTTTCAAATTAAAACGACAGTTATTAAATTACGACGAAATAAATAATGCTATAGCTAAGGTAGTCAATTGGTTTAATGTTAATAATTTGCATTTAAATGGAACTAAAACTAAATGTATGAAATTCGTAACTCCTAATGTCAAACGTGTTAATACGAATGTAATTTTAAATGGGGAAGAACTGAGTCTTGTTGATACTACCATTTTTCTTGGAATCACATTAGACGCAAAGCTTCAATGGCTCCCCCATATATCAAAACTAGCTAGCAGACTTAGTTCTGCACCATATGCTGTAAAAAAAGATTAGAACTCTTACCAGTGTTGAAACAGCTAGAATAGTTTACTTTAGTTATTTCCATAGCATTATGTCGTATGGTATTTTGCTATGGGGGCACGCGACTGACACTGAAATTATATTTATTTTACAGAAGAGAGCCATTAGAGCAATATATAATTTAAAACCAAAAGAGTCACTGAGACAAAAATTTAAGGAAATTAACTCTGGCCTCTCAATATATTTATGAAAATGTAATGTACGTACACAAGAATAAACGTAGTTTTGCAAAAATAAGTGATATTCATTCTGTAAATACTAGGAACAGACACAAGCTAGTAGTACCAGTTACTCGACTCCACCGAGTCAGTAATTCATTCTTGGGGCGATGTATACGCTTTTACAACAAAATCCCAGAAAATATACAAAATTTGTCATACGCATAGTTCAAAAATTTTGTTAAACTAAGTTTGTATAAAAAGGGTTATTATAATATTAAGGAATTTATGGATGATAGTAACCCCTGGGAAGGGTAATCGCTACCAAGCTATTTCTAATTTCTGTTGTGTTGTTAATTGTAAACATGATTGTAAGCTATTATTTGAAAAAAAAAATATAGTCCTGCTGGGTTTCTTGCTGGTTCTTCCTAGGACAGAGGTTTTTTTTGCGAACCATTGGTAAATGAAAATATTGACTTTCAATAAGTATTGCTTATAATCTACATTGAATAAAAAAGTGTCTGTTTCTGTTTCTGTTTATTAGTCCATAGGTTTCTCTGTCTACGATAGAGACGCTCTCTATCTTAGTCTTCAGAGGTGAAAATGCATCAGGTGAACCTGTAAGTTCATTTGTCACTTAACATTTATGAAAAAAAATTGTTACCTACTTGTAAGTTATTGTCCAGTAGGTCTTGTACAAGTTTATTAGGTTGAGAGTAATGAAGAGCAAATAGAAGATAGATTAATCTCGTCACTGACAGTTGTTAGCTCCATTTTGAATACCCGACGAAAGATATTCAAGGTATTATTGTCACAAATTTCTTTTTGATCACTGTTTTCTAACGAACAGGAAAAGAAGCAGAAGGAAGCGTTGACACGCAAGCAGGAGAAGAACAGGAGTAAGTCACAACGCGAAGAAGCTGACGAGGGTGCCGCGCCAGTAACTTTGCTGCAGAGGCCCAAAGAGTACATAGTCAAGTTCAACTTCCCAGACCCGCCGCCGTTACAGCCGCCTATACTTGGATTGCACAGTAAGCTTATATTTATTTTAGTTACAGTCTGTGTCAGAGGTTGTTTTCTTTGAAAGGTGTCTTTAGGAGAATAGAAAGGAAGGGCTGGTCTTATTAAAGTGATGAATTCTTTAAGCACCTCACAACACATTTGATGCGCAGTATATAAGGTGAATTTGTCAGGCTCCGGGATCTATACTTACGCGCAGTGGCGAAGTTAGGGCTCCAAACTAGTGTAAGATCAAGGATATGGTTTTATTGTTTTAGCAGTTTTATAAAAATACACCGATCTTGATCTGTATCTCTTCAGTTTCATATTCAGTGCTGTTGGACGTGTTTAACAAAGCACACAGAAGGCATACTAATGCTAGATAGATTGTATTACATATCAGCAATTGCACACCTTCGGTGGCTTTGAAGAAAGCCGTTTGGGTTTGCTTGAACGCAAGAAAAAGATATTTAAATACAATACAATACATGTACAAAAGAAAAGCATGAACAAAGTACAAACAAAGTATGTACAAAATTAAAAAAAAAAAACAAATTATTTATATTTTAAATCGAATCGTCTCTCTTTTTTACGGAAAGATTTGATTACGTCCGCGTAAAATGTTGGTGAACGTTTTAATTGTACCAAGTTGTTTTTTCTCAACAAAGTTTAAAAATTTTACCTTTTCCTCGCCGATTAGCACTTTAATCCACTTCATCACAAGGAACACTATTATTCTCCATTTTCACTAAAAATCTTTAAAAAAGCAAATCTTCAATTCGCAATATTCATTCGCTCAAGTAAACACACAGATAAAACATGGAAATGTGAAGTGAACTTGCAAACTTGCGCCCTCGCGCTCGCTAACCCGAAAACCACGCTTATTGCTCCGTGCTAATTGCTAAATAAACAATCGTAGTTATATTTCACTATAGAACATTTTGCAACAAGTTAGAAAGGGAGCGATCGTCTTCTCAAAAGCGCGATAAAAAGCTCACGCGTGTGAGAGAGACGACTAATCACTCAACTCAACTCCTTTTTTATGACTGTAGTATCGCGCAGTTTTGCCGTTACATAATAAGGCTACGAGTTCATGACCTGTGTGGAACAGAGGAACCCGCGGGAAATTTGAAATACTTTGAAACAGTTTACGAGTTATTTTATTTGTTGATATTATTGATTGAGCAGTTTGATAGGGCAAGCTCGGCTTTTCGGCTTCTATGGAGACTTCGCTACTGCTTACGCGTACATAGTTTCATTTAGAAATGGTCTTGTTTTTTTTAGAAATACGGAATTTCCAAAGTTTAGAGTAGCCAGCACACAAATGTCTGTGAAAAAGTGGGTCTAGTAAAGTAAAAAGGAAAGATTATGTGAAAAAATTTATTCATCTGAAGGAAAATCGCAATGCCACGAAGCAATACTGTATTATTTATTTACATCTTAAATCAAGTTCACACTAATTAAGTAATTCCCTATATGTAATGATAGGGAAACATGTTATGTTTTACATACTACAACATAATTTAAATATTTGTCAAGTGTGATTAAAACACAACAACAAACATGTAAAGTATTAATTTAGTAATTAATATTTTACATGTGTTTTTTTTACAAATAAATCAATTTTATTGCCAGAGTAATTATACTACTTTATTTTTTACAGACGTGGACTTCAACTTCCCTGGTCAAAAGCCTCTCTTCATAGGTGTAGACTTTGGTATAGACTTGAACTCACGTATCGCCATTGTTGGACCCAACGGTGTTGGGAAATCTACCTTCTTGAAGCTTCTTGTTGGAGAGCTTAGTCCCATACGAGGGGAATTAATTAGGAATCATAGATTGGTTAGTATTTTTGCGATTTTTTCACTTTTTTATGGTTAACATGAAAAAAAAATGCCCTTATTCAAGAAATATCATTTAACCCTATCGCTCGGCTACCAATCTAATCAGATCGTACAATACCTACCTTACGCCCGCTCTAGTACGGGGCTAATTAGATCAGATAATATCAGAAGTACTGCCTTATGAAAAAACTACTTTTTCCTTTAAAACAAAACCAAAGACAATATGCAATAGATAATAGTATCAAAGACAAAGATATGTTCTTTTATTTTAAACCATAACCTGGCAATGTTTCTTAGAAAAAAAAAAAGAAATCACTCTAAACTTTCGGCGTTCCACGTGTCGTTTTGATGGAGGCGCTCCGTCTTTTTTATAGAATTTTATAATTGTGTCTGGACTAAAAACGAAAGTATTATACTTTTTTATATTCCTTGTAATATAGTGAACACGTAGATATATAATTTGTGGTATAAAAAGTGAAAAGTAAATTGCCAAAAGTGCTTCAAAATCTGGAAGGCCCATTATGGCGGCTGGGTCATAAATGTGGTATTTTTCACATTCTCATTTATTTTTAGTGTAAAATGTAAGTAAAAATAGTTTTCTTACATATTTCAAATAACTTGACGTTGTATTTATTTCAAATTCACACAAAACTATTTTAGAAATATTGTTCTAAATGTCACACAGATAAAATATGATTATTTAATTTTTTTTAATTTCTTTATATTTTAATATTTTGGTATGAGTAACGAATGGAAACACATAAAACATAAAAATATACATATTTCCAAACATTTTCATATAAATTTCTCTAAAAACAAAAGTGTAGAATTCAAGTTAGTAGTAATTTTGTCACTAAAATTGAAGTATATACCACACACATACACAGCTATACAGCTATATATACAGCTATACAGGGTAATTTACGTATTTTATTACAATTTCTAGCAACCAAAAATAATTTTATTCGATAGTTTATACATTCAACAAGAAATCCTGTAAGTTTTATCCATAAATATTGTCTCAAAGTGAAAATATAGCAAAATTTGCAATATAGCAAAAAATTTGCTAATTTGCAAATTTTCCCGCCATTACGGTCCCGAGCGAACGGGAGTATAACATGTCGCGCGCTGTCAGAGCGAAGGGGTTAAGGAATGGATGTATGCACTACGCGTTCATTTCAAGATTGCTGTCGCTGACCGTTATGTCACGGCTGAAGGTACCGTAACAAAACTAAGTAGTTTGTTGCCCTGTACAAAGAAATGGAGGGCAAGCAAGTGGATACAATGCATAGTATTCAATCATTTATTTAGTTAGTAAAGTAAATTAATAACAGTGAATAGAAGCGTGTCCTATAAATAAAATAATTTTTATGATATACGTTTTATTCTACATTTTAAATTAATGATTTACTAAAAGCAGAGATCGCACGGGAGAACAAAAAACGGACGTACCAGTTCAGCGTTGCTATCGGTACTTTACGGGCAGGGTGAGGCAGCGCGGGGGAGGTAACGCCATTCTTGAAATGAACACGTAGTCGTCCATATGCCAAATAATAGACCCGGAAATATTAATAGTTCTGTTATATACATATGTCATTTATAGTAATTTTTTTGTATTTTATTATATTAGAATAAAGGTGGCGAAGTTTATTTTAAACGAAGTGAAAATGTCTGTTTATTACTTTAATTAAAGAATGAATTAAAAAAATTAAAGAATGAATTAAATTTATTTTTCAAGAACTATTTAGGACGGATTATAGTTATGTTGTTAGTGTAGTGGTGGTGTAGAAATATCAACTACCCCATATCGACCCGTGGGGTGTGGTAAGAGGCGACATGGGGAAACTGAATCAGGAGATGGACAGCAGCTTCTTCCAGATAACAATTTAGGATTATATATTTATATATTTTATTAATTTATTTTTACTTTAATTAAAACGGTAAAACCAATTAAGTTAATTAAAGACAACAAACTCATCCTTCTCGTTCAAAAAATTCAGGCATTCACACAATATTACCATCCATAAATCTTTAAATAGGTTGCACTCAGGATTTGTGTCCAGGACAGTGGTGAGGACACGTGTTGCCAAGCATGGCAATTATGGCACAATACCTTTTATGTGGCAATCTATGAGGGTGGCCTATGTTCAGCAGTGGAATTTTATGGGCTTAAATCGAACGGGTGCTATGTTTGTAGAGGGTTATTTTTCAACGAATAGCCAAATTGTAACTTAAGTTCAAATATGTAATTATATGTTGTTATTGCGGTTTTTGAAAATACGAGTAAATAAGGCTTTTACTTTTATTTGAAATTATCCTAAATTGAATGTAATTTATGGGGAAAAACATTTTTGCCTACCGATCGACCCTTGCGAACGTGTGCAGTAAAATTAGTTCAAATAACGCATTACCAGGCATTTTGAATTTAAAAGGACAGAATGTTAGAGGTTTTATTTAAATTAATTTTCATCACCATATGCCTATATTACTTCTCTGCTTTGGCAGCTTATTGCAAAGTAACCAAATGTATGTTTTTATTTTTTATATTTTAGGTTGCTAAATTTGTTTTTAGTCGTCTAATGACGGAACTGAAATTGGGCTGTTTTAATAATTAAAGAAGGTTTCTAATTTCATAACAGTCTTAGATATGGATTGCATCGTAAAACATATATGATATAGTGTCATTATCTAGGGTGAAATCAGATGAATATGTTTGTATGTACTAAACACCGCCTGGTTATTCTGTTAAGCAAGCTGGTGATGTGTGCTGTGAATATGAAAACGAGTGTGTGTCGGACAGAGGATCGGACGCTTCGACCAGCACTCCGGGGAGCACCTGACGGCGGAGGAGTCGCCAGTGGAGTACCTGCAGCGGCTGTTCGGGCTGCAGTACGAGAAGGCGCGCAAGGCGCTCGGCACCTTCGGGCTGGCCGGACACGCGCACACCATCAAGATGAAGGACCTCAGCGGCGGCCAGAAGGCGCGCGTCGCGCTCGCAGAACTCACCCTAATGGCGCCCGACGTTGTTATTTTGGTGAGTGTGTATTTATTCAGGCGTGCTTGTGCGTACACACGCACACCGAGTATTTGCGTTCACACTTTGTGTGTGTGTGTGTGTGTGTGTGTGTGCATGTAGATCTATGCATACGACCTTCGATCAACAATACCAACTAGATAACAGGTCACATACAAAATCATAGCTAAATACTGTCCGCATGAATATAAACTATGAAAACATAAATTAAATAAAATTTAGTGTGAAATCAACCTTAAGTAATAACAAATAAAGTTCTTTTTCCCGTTATTGCCTTGCGAGCTACACTCTCACGTGCAGAGCTCACGTCTCATGTGCGCTCTTATTTACTGAGATGTATTTCTTGCGCCGACCCGACATCTAGTTGGTATTGTTGGTCGAAGCATACGACTGTATACGTAATAATCTGTTTTAATAAATGTATTGATTGATAATAGGTATAGAAAGATAACACTCAACAATGGTTCCTAGTGGTGGATAGCAAAGTGGAGTAAATAATTACAGTACATTGGTATCATGACTTTTGATTCTTAAATCAACGAGAGATGTAGGTTTCTATGGGCCACAGTTCCACTTATCTTCTGGTGAACTGTGTTCTGGTTTGTCACTTTTACTTTATTTTTAATGCATTTGATGATTTTCTACTTAAAATACAATATATTTAACTTGTATTGTATAGGATGAACCGACGAACAATCTGGACATTGAGAGTATAGACGCACTAGCCGAAGCGATCAACCAATACAAGGGTGGCGTGGTGATCGTATCTCACGACGAGCGCCTCATACGTGAGACAGACTGCGCGCTCTACGTCATCGAAGACCAGACCATCAATGAGGTATGTTCCAAAATTAATGCAATATTATATTTATTTTATTTTTGTTGATAACCCAGTAATCAAAAGTTTAGAAAGCACTGAAGGACTCTACAATCCATTTTATTTTGAATTTAAATACAAGTTTTAGGTTTAGGTTGTATTTTAAACTTAGGATATGACTGCTGATTTAATAGTAAAAATCTTTTCTATAGTATTATTTTAATGATTTTAGTCTGTTTTCGTCCACATCAGAGTTTATAGTATTTTGGCTAGACATAAAGAAGCTAGGAGATTTGACAGTGCACCAAAGTGCTAAGAACTTGTGTGCACGAGAAATTTCTTCTGTTTTGATTAGTTTACTCCCCTCTCCGAATACGACGCGATTGACCTTGCCCGTTTCGCAGCAAACGCGCCGATTGTCGAACATCACGTGTGTTACCCTTACGCTTTGTTTATATAGACATGTATAATATAATCAAAGCCGTACGGGCTTTGATTATATTATATTTGACTGAGCTAGCTCAGTATGCAGATTAATGAACAACACAGAGAGCATTGCTTACTTCTTAATTAAATCTTTCTTATTTATAATATTAGTTCCTATAGATTATAAATTCTGTACTTTATTCGTTATAAAATATTGTTCGAAAAGTTATTGAATTGATATCGATTTTTTTTTCTTAATTGGTGCATCGTACGTAAATAACTTCATATAACTGAAAATATTTGTTCTTGTGAGTCTTACAAGATGCCGTAATGCAAATTGCATAAATAATAAAGAAAAAAAAATTAAAAAGTCTGTGATTGCCCCATAGTGGAGATAGGTACTGTGTATGTAAATAAAATGTAAAAAAAACATTGATATATGACATTATTTGTGGTCTCTGTGCTTGCACTACTCTGCACATTCTTTTCCGACTCGGTCATGATATTTACATTTTTAGTGTTTCTCACTTGCCTAGAAAAGTATAAATGATCAGTTTGGCCAATGTAAATGAGTAAAAATGCAGCCTATTAGGCAGCCTCAAACATAAAATTACCTTACAAAAATATAAGTAACCTCAAAATACAACATTCGAGCAGCGATATGCGATAAACTCTCTTTGTTTTACCACTTAGATAACATATATTTCTTTTCCTACCCATATTCACATTTATAGTCATTTAAACGCGCATAAAACACTAAATTAAAGATTTTCGCTACAGACACAACGACTGTTGTCACCTTACGTCACACAATAATTTCGTATATCATCTGGCAATATACGATATTATTATTAGATGTTTTTAATTAAAACGAATTATGTTAATAAATAATATTTTGTATCGAAAATAAAGACGGCAGGCACCTTCAGAATCACAATACAAACATTTTTACGTAAAAGAATTTTTCCTAAATTAAAAGATTTAATACTAAAGAAGAATGTTTACAGTTATAATTTATATCATTTAATTTGTGTTCTAAAATTAACTCGTTGAACAATCTTGGTTTTTGTTCGCAATATAATTCCATTGTCGACCACGGGTAATGCTATCTTAACTGCAAAGCTACCATTACTTTTTTGCAAAAATCAATAAACCAAAATAATATAAACGTAACAAACTCTTACACTAGTTAACCTGAGAGGCAAGCAGAGGTTACCTACTTTAATTCGGCACGATCATGATACATCTCTAGCCTCCTTCACATCCACATATCTACAAATACATGCTCCTCGCTTAATGATAATCTTGGCCCATCTTCAATATATTGCCTATTTGGACGATAAACTTCCATCTACAGAGTTCCCTGACGCCTCAGCAACTCACTTTTGCAGCATAAGTTTTCTTTGTCACTCTTTATGAAACAAACTTAAGCTTATTAATAATATTTTTACTGCAGGTCGATGGAGACTTCGACGATTACAGGAAGGAGCTGCTGGACAGTCTCGGAGAAACGATCAACTCACCATCCATCATCGCGAACGCTGCAGTACTGCAGTAGGCTCTGCAGTCATGTTGCTAGTTTTAATTACGATGTTATTGTTTGTCATATATACATTTTTGTTACTGTAAACTATTTATAACATTGTGCTTTCAGTTAGTATTTCCTTTTTGTGAACATGTTTCCCGTTTATATGTATTTAGATTACATTAATTAAATTATAAAAACAAAGTCTGTTTACCGTACAATTTAATAATTGTGTACATACAATGAATTGATTCATGAAGATTTTAAAGTCGGGTGCTATTTTGTATGTTTAAGTTGTACTTGGTAGATTTAGAAAATATAATTCTATCAGAAAATTAGAACATATAATGTTAATAAATAGAAAAGTTAATGTTTAATATCTTATACAACTTTAAACATACCAATAAATAATCGTATAATTGGTATGAAAACGATTTTTTTGCTGTATAATTAAAATAATATTTGCATATTGAATCTTCCTAGTATTGTTAAACTTCCTCCTGCTCTAACTGCAAACTTAATAAGATTTGAAAAACTAATCCCTTAAGTTTTTTTTTACAATAGAACACGAAATAAAAGTGTCTAGCAAACATTCATAATTATAGTCATTCAATTCAAAATTCAAAAAAGATTCAAACATTCGTAATCATCGACGATTTGATACTTTGGATTGGTGCTGTACACTTACCCTTGATTAAGGTTGCCAGGATAAAATCTGAAAATTACACTCACTGTTCGATTTGCAGATACAATAGTAAGACAATAGGAGTTGCACATATGGGTCAAGGTTAATTTTAAAAGAAAGTTATAATTTTTTTTACAGTAGTACATCTAGCAGACATAATTTCGTATAAATTGCACAAGTGCCTATATTTAAACAATACATGTTCATCGAAATAGGCAATAATATAAAACTTACAAATATTTGCACATCTTATTAATGTTTTTTTTATTACACAACCAGTTTTAGCATTCTCAATAACATGTCCATTATGTAACTGATCTGCTGAATAGGAAATGTTAAAATTGTGTTTATTGTATAAAATGTAATAAATTTATTTATGTATTAAAGTATATTAATAAAGTTTTTTTAATAAAAAACTGCTTTGTTTCATTTAAAAAATTATCGCCTATCGTTTTATGATTTATATTATTTTTTTTAATATAAAATAAGCTGACAAATGAGCACACATCTTCATCTATCTTCAGAAATAAATTGCAGATGCGTTGTCTCCTCTGAGGATCAAAATGGAATGCCTAGTTTTCAGTAAAGAGGGTCTCCGCTTCTCTACACACATCATACGAAACACGGCAACATTAAGTTGCTAGTTTACGCTGGTATTCTGTGAGAGCGTGGTCCTGCCTCGGTGGAGCCGACCTATTCGTACTTGCTACATCATAAATTCATAATATAGCTATAGCGTGGCTTCTTTTTCTGAATTATTCTTCGTTATTCTTTACTTTCAATATTATTATTGATTATGTAAGAAACCGGTTCTACGAAATACAAGCACATTCTTTTACCTCAAGCTTGCAGTAAAATAACGAAATAAATGAAAATTGAGCAAAACGTCAGACCAGGTCTGAATTTGTTTTCGGAAAACTGTAAGCAAAAATAAGAAAATCCTAGAATTATCCGGACCTGGCAACCGGTAACCTATCAGTGATCATGTTGTCCTAGCAGCGTAACACACGATTTTTATCTTACTCGTATAAGATACAGTCATAGATTTTGCTGCTGGTCGGAAACGACATCAGGAATGCTCAGAAAACCAGTAATAAAGTCAATACGTGGTCGAGCCATACCGCACAGAATACTAGCGTATATCAGCTCTATGCCCCTGTGTTTTCTATAGTGACTGTAGAGAACCGGAGACCCTTTTTACAGAAAACGAGGTATTCCACCTCAGTCCTCAGGGGTGGCAACGCATTTGTATTTTGATTCCTAATAATAACATATATAATAAATAATAATAGTGACAGAGCCATAGCAAACCGGGGTGGTACCACGACCTCGACAGAAGACCGGCGTGAAATGGAAGCTTTGCTTCTGAATTTCGTCTGGTGAGTGCAGGTGGCCGGAGGCCTAATCCCCCCCCCCCCCCCTTATAATGGTAGCGGAGTTAAATATAACACTACCCCAGGAGGGTACCAGCACCCCCGGTCACGGAGTATCCCTCGCTGAGTATCCACGCCTAAGCTACTCTATTCTTCCTGAGCGTGGGTGCTTAGGCTGCCTCTAGTATTCTGGGGAGGGGGGGGGGCGAAATTCCGCTCAAGACTAAACCTGCTTGGGGCAAACGGAGCAATAAGTCAAAGGCGCCCCCTGCCACAGTATCCGTGAATTTCTCCAGTATCAGGGGACTTCATTCTAACCTAAACGCCGTCCACTACCATCTCGAGACGGCGACGCCGGCTCTGCTCTTTCTGACCGAGACGCAGGTGTCCTCTCCGGCTGATGTCTCGTATCTCTCCTACAAGAGGTACAAACTGGACACTCCTTTGTGTCCCAGGCTGGAGTTTGAGTGTACGTCAGAGAGGACATCTGTTTTCGACGCCTCGGAAGCCTTGAAGGTACGAACCTGTACATCTTATGGCTGCGCGTAGACAGCGACGACCATCCCCGCGTCTACGGGTGCCTCTAATATAGGATAATCGACCACGTCCAGATGGCTGCAGACTCCGTGCTACAATAGGTACCATTCGCAGAGATCGTGATTGGTGATTGCCCACCACGCTGAATGGCTAGGTTCTCGTTTAATTGATCATGCGGGTAGATCTGTTTATCACTTTGCTTTGGCATATGGTCTGACACAACTGGTTACCTTGCCTACGCAGATCCCAGATGTGGAAGATCATGTACTTCCCTGTTGGACCTTCTGCTGACCCCTCACCCGGACGGATATCAGGTCTCCGTCAATGACCCTCTTGGCTCCTCGGATCATTGTCTGATCCGAAGTACAGTGCCATCTCTCTGCCTTGGTTTGGTCGCTCGTGCAAAATTGCATTACGTCATAAGCAAGAGTACTACCAGGCCTGGGCTCGCGTATTGACGTCTCGGGATGCAAATACCAGCGCTCTTAAAAAGAAGTATAATTCTGCTTCCAGGTCCTTCAAAAGTGTAATTGTTAAGGCAAAGTCATAGCACATCGGCAGAATTGGAGAAACTAGTTCGAAGACAGCCTTCGTGCACCCGATCCTTAAAAAAGGTAACCGCTCTGATCCGTTCAACTATAGGCCTATCGCCATTACCTCCTTGTTCTCTAAAATGATGAAATCAATTATTAACAGCCAGCTCGTGGGGTACCTTGAGGATCACCAGCTGATAAGTGACCGCCGGTACGGTTTCGGTCGCTCGGCTGGTGATCTGGGTTACCTAACTCATAAATGGGTGGAGGCAGTAGAGTCCTTGGGTGAGGCGTTGGCCGTTAGTTTGGACATAGCGAAGGCCTTCGATCGAGCTTTACACAAAGCCCTTCTTACGAAGATTCCTTCCTTTGAGCTTCCCGAGAAATTGTGCAATTGGATCACCAGTTTTCTTGTTGATCGGAGCATCAAGCAAGGTCGTAGTAGACGGTGCATGCTCCGATTACAAGTCCATTAACGCTGGTGTTCCACAAGGCTGTGTGCTATCACCAACGCTGTTTCTTCTGCATATCAATGACATGTTGCAAATTGGTAACATTCATCGTTATGCAGACGACAGCACTGGTGGTGCTTTTACAAGGTGCCAATATTTTGGGAAAACGTCGCCGAGTACCGGGATAAACTTGTGTATGAAGTCGAGACTATGTTAAACAAAATCTCGGACAGGGGGCGACTAAATCTAGTCCAGTTTAATCCCCAGAAGACACAAGTTTGCGCGTTTACCGCTAAAGGACCCCTTATTCGTATCTCCTCAGTTTCAAGGCTAATTCTACTAATTCCAGCCGCACAAAATTACACCATCCCACATCGCGACAAAACTCGCGATACCATCCATACCATCTGGGTGACTGGCGGTCCACCACGTTCATATAATTTGGTGGCCCCGTGGTAAATGCAATAAAATACGCAAGGAGATGCATCATCTTTTCGCAGTGCCATTGAATCGAGCCGATCGGAAATCCCACGGTCGACGAGGATTCGAGTCACTCCGAGCTGGATGCGGTCAAGTGGAAGGAACTGGCACTGGGGAGCCCCAGCCCAGAAAATGGGAACAGTATTCTATATGAGGCCGAATCTGCGCCTTGTAAATTTGCAGGCCATGTACCGGCATGAAATACTGTCCCGCTCAGCTGAGCACGCCAAGCTTTTAAGAGGCCAATTTGGCCTTCTCTTACAAGTGACCACGAAACTGCACGTGTCGACGCCGAGGATTCCGATACTGGTTAAGGCAACAAGGGGAGTGCCTTGAAACTGAGGAGATACGACAAAGGGGTTCTTTTTAGCGGTTGACGCGCAAACTTGTGTCTTCTGAGGGTTAAACTGGACTAGATTTAATCGCCCCCAATCCGAGACTTTGTTTAGCAAAGACTCGACTTCAGACACAAGTTTGTCGTGTGTGTACTCGGAGACGTTTTCCCGAGAAATATTGGCACGGCTGGTGTACAGAGCATCACCAGTGCTGTCATCTGCATAGCAATGAATGTTACCGGTTTGTAACATATCATTGATATACAGAAGAAACAGCGTTGGTGATAACACGCAGCCTTGTGGAACGCCAGAATTAATAGGCTTGTAATCGGAGCTTGCACCGTCTACAACAACCTGGATGCTCCGATCTGCTGAAAGCTGATGATCCAATTGCACAATTTCTCAGGAAGCCCATAGGAAGGGAGCTTCGAGAGAAGCGCTTTGTGCTAAATTCGATCGAAGGTCCTCGCAATGTCAAAACTATCGGCCAATGCCTCCCCCTTGGACTCTACTGCCTCCGCTCATCTATGAGTCAGGTAGACCAGAAGATCACTACGACGAAAACCGTATTGGCAATCAATGATCAGCTGGTAATCCTCAAGGTACCTCATGAGCTAGCAGTTTATTATGGAATCCAT